AAAAAAATGACAGTATGCAGTATTTTGGGGGAGAAACTTCATTCAAGCTGACTTCAAACTTTCTGCAACTCTGTCAAGGCTGCAACTGCAAAGAGATTTTTCCTTCCAGACATACTGGGGCAGCACGCAGCTGTATAGTTCACCAGCATATGGATTAAATAAATACAGTCTGCACAGAGCTTGTTAACACTTGTTCACTTGGATCCAGCACAAGTTTTAGGCAAACCCAACAAAAAAAACATGCACTCACATCTGTGCACACCCAGACCAAAGCGTACATGTAACTTATATGCACACAAAGAAGTATGACACACACATGCAAACATCCTTAAAGGAGTAAATGTGTAGGTAAGTATTGTGAATCCACACATAAATATATAGAGAAACTGGAGGGAACCTTTTGATAAATACTAAGTAGCATGTTAGTGATTAGCAAAAACTCCATTTACCACACTAAGGCAAGTCTGTTTGTATGTCTGAATCCAATTTAACCAGTTTTCGAATCAGCATAAATTAACTGTATGGGAGTTTCATCTAATCATACACTTGGTTGGATATAAAAAGAATAAATTGTACATTTTAGCTGAATCTTTTATCTTTTACATGCGCACTAACATCTTACGTGTATCCAACAGTTACTTGGAAGTGCTTCAGTTGAGATAGCACAACTCTCTCACACACACACAAAACTGTTGGTTGGGGTCTGATCTACTTCTGGCTATGTAGTCAGTTGCTAACAAAATCTGATTAATGGATTTCAACTCAGTCTCTCCAACAAACACAGAAGCAGACTGAGAGGAAGATGAATTGGTACAAGCTTTGAAAACTAGGTTGGGTCCACTGCCTCAGCTTTGCCTAGTTACCGTTCTTAATCTGATTAATCAAATTTTTTTCCTCCTAGAAAGGCTTTGGAAAATGAGCGCACCAAGCACCGAATGCTAGTCAGGTTTTGCTGTGTGAATCTGACCCTCCAAACAATTTGGATACGAGGAGAAACAAACATGAACTGTGCCATGCGTGCCTGCATTAATGATAACATTTCTTCAAGCCTTCAACTTGTTCCAGCATCAGTTTATGTTGTAAGATATACGATATGCCATCTCGATCCAAATGTTAACCAGGCTTATAGGCCTACCCCAAATCTAGGCATATTATGCCTAGATTTGGGGGTTGCAAGCCTGCTGGCATCTGGGCTGCAATGCGGTAGTATGGACAGCTCTGGGCACAGTTATATAAGCTAATGAACCATCTTAAGAGCCATTGGAGAATTTTTTGTAAACCAAATGCTACATTTATAAACTAACAGCCAATATACAGTACACTGTTGGTCGAGTTTTATCAATATATTACAGACAATGCAATCAATTCCTAAACAGCAACTATTATTGGCCAACTATGTCCTGCCTTGTACTTTGATTGCTCAGAAAGCAAACTCAGAATAAACAGGTCAAAACAGCTGCACCATAAAAAGATAATTATTCAGTGTGACAATGCAATCAGGTCTGCTTTCTCAATGTAGTTACAAACAGAGTTACTGCAAGCATGCAAACAGACCATAATTGAGATAAAACAGACTTATGCAAAGAATTAACACGCATCTGTCACCCTGATCTTTGATTGATTCGGTGTCCTTTAAAGTAGTCGATCATTAACAAACTGACAAATTAAGCCATTAATAGCAATGACACCTGGTGACACCTCCTTTATTAATCTTTGCCTGGCTAAATAATAAGTCTTAATTGGAATCTATTAGAATGAATTGTTAGTTGGGATGTCAGGGACAAAGAAAAAGACTTGTGTGCATGAGTTTGTCCATGTACATCTTTGCGAGAAGATAAAGGTTTAATGCCCTCTCTACTTATTGATGAATGGGTATGTCTCGACGTCCTACACACACATACGCACACGGAAACACTGAAAAGGGAAAAAAAAAAAACGCGCATATGTGTGTGTATGTGTGTGGAAAACTAACAGCGGCAGAGCGCGCTGTAAAGCTGCGAGAAGATGAGATCATCACACACACTGAGCTACCTTCTGACCCATTTTGGCAACAGTCAACAGGTAGTTTACACGCGGATGTTCAAACGTTTTCTAAACCAGGCTCTGCTCTGACTTTTGCTGTTTGAGGCCGACACACACAGACAGTAAGAGGGTGACGCAAAAAGAGAGAGAAAGATCTGCTGACAGACAATGGGGAAGGAACACATCAGGAATCACCACCTCAGAGGAGCGAAACTCTTTTGTGGGCTACTATGTCACAGAAACAAAAAAAAAGTCTTTATATGTGCACACTGCGCTGTGTGTTGCGTGCAGGATCAAATTCAAATGGCTCTAACTCTACTCAACATTGCTCAGTTTTTTTAAAGCCTCAAGAAAAAACCAAAAAAAACCTGGCACATGTGACTAACATATCAAAGACTAGGAGATAACCCAACATGCACGCACACCACTGCATCTATGAGAACATTTGTATATACACATTTGAAGGCATGCAATCATGCACATGCATACACACAATTGAATAGACACACACACACATGACCACAGCTAAAAGCATCAAGCAGCTCAAAGTAATCCGCCCTGCTGAATAACATCACCAAGCAAAGCCACCGCACCGCATAATGAAAAACATGCTAACACACACACAGATGCTCGCACACTGTGCAAAAGGACATACGCAAATTTGCATATCCATTATCATTCACTATGGTGCATGCAAAATAGCTACGTAGAAAGATATTCATAAAGACGCACCAAAAGTACAGAGACAGTCTCAAAGACACTCTGCAATGATCGTGCATTTACAGTTAAAGGGTCATTTCACCAAAAAAGACCTGCGTTTTTTAGCCTTCCAGGCTGCTTGGAGTTCACTTTAAAGAGATTTCAACAAAGCTGCTAGTACTCATATACTGAGCTATACAAATAAAGAGGATTCATACACTTCCTAAAAAATCAACTTATCTTACATAACTCAATGTATAAGAAACCTTGTTCTGGAGAGTTTTGAACGGTTGAAACAGTTCCCAATAAAAACTGTTGAGACAGCAGAAAGAGCACGAGAGTGTGTGAGAGAAAGAGAAAGGAAGCAGACGTCGAGAGCTTCAGCGTGCGTTGTGACACAGGTAAAGGAGGATACACAGCAGCTGTTTGTGCACCTTTGTTTGTGTGTCTTTGTGTGTGCTCAGGACAGCTGATGGCTGGTGAAAAATGGAAATAAATAAATTCACAAATTTAAAGCGTGTCAGTTCTTGCAGCTTGTTAGTAACACAAAAGCCCCGATAAGGCAAAATACAGTGCGGTTAAATTACCGTATGTTAGCGTCACAATGCATACAAATGTACACGCCCACATATATACATATATACACACACATCTAGACGAGAATAATTCTCTATTTACATGGCATAATTCAACAATATGGTTGTATGTACCGTATGTGAAAAATATTTCTTGATTTGCGAGCGTTTGGATAAAGGCAGACAGTTCGGCACATACGGTATTTAAACCGAAATAAAAGAATACAGCACTGCTATAATTATAATGTATGCTACACCACAAACCACTGCAGCTTTTTGCACATGCTTACATAATAACCTCAGCTGTAAATATATGTACTTCCTGCAGTACAATAACCTGTGCAGTGCCATTACGTTCTAGGATCCATGAATGCACATAGCAAAAGGAAAAAGTAACCTTTTCAGTTCAAACACTCTCATATCTGAACAAACAGATCATGTTTTGGTGTTGTACAAAACTCAGCATTTAATTGAACAGGCACTCTTATTCATATGTTACCATCCCCTAATTGCAGGCTCACCATTAACGGTCTCTATGTAGCATGTGGGCTTCTGTAAAGCCTTGGAGATCACTGGTACTAATCGACATTGCTAGTAGTTTGCTGTGGTGGTGCTGGAGTCGACGTTTGAAAGCGTATTTATGGGATCTGAAGAGCGAAATTAAAGCAGCGGTGTCAGAAATCTCTTGTTAACAGACATCCCTGGTAACAATTGCATATTTTGGAAGCAAACCAATCAAACAGTAGATCAAGTTGCTCCCTCTAAACTTTACAAAGTGTGAGGAACTAATGAGCTCTGCTAATGAGGTCTACTGAACCAGAATACAGCAGATGCTTACTGGAAGAGCAGGTAATGTTTCGCTATGAGTAAACTGCTCCACTGCTTGATGGCAAAAACAATCTTTTAACTTTTATTTCTGCATAGGAATCATTTGAAACAGCGCAGTATTCGAGCAATATTTAAACAGTTTTCCACCCTCACTGGGTGCCACCAGGCAAACATTAAATACCACAGCGTATGGAGGAGCGATTCAAGGCAACGTGCACAGTCACTTCCTCCACAAGTGATGACTAAGAGCAGTTTTTCATAATACTTCGTTGTTCTGCGTGTACGCCATTTTATCTGCAGTCGCTTAGTAAACTACCCCCCTGTACCCGCTTTGGCTTGAGGTGGTTACATCAGACCCACAAACTGGCCGAGCTCTGAGAACGACGGATGCCTGTTAAAGCTTTTATTTTTTTATTTCTCGTGAAATTGTTTGCTTTCATAGTTTAAAGCAAGACTTGCTGTGCACACACACACCACAAAAACACGCTGAGTTACTGCAGAAAAAGTATATTAATTTTTTTTTTCAAGGAATGAACGCTGATGCTGCAGAAAAAAAGTGAATTATTGTTTTATTTCTAATGAAAAATAATTCATAAACAATTATTAGCACTTTAATTTAATGTAAAAAAATAAATCCCATTAACATTTGTATTAATATTGTATTAAAGATTAGTGTCTAATTAAAAAGTGTATAATATACATTTAATTATTAAATGTTACACTTGATAAACTGACTTTGTAAATATTCACGGTAGTTTTGTCAGAACATGTAGGACAGAAAGCAGCAGAATCCTGAATATCAGCAGTAAAAACATTAAGTTTAAAGTTGTTCACTTTCCTATTGAGGGATTGAAAGTGAAAACATATATGTCCTACCTCTGCTGATCATCGGGTTATATAAACATCATGGCTGGCTCCTGGCTTTGGCATCGGTTCTGATGAAATGGCTCGGTTTAACCCTACGCCGCAGCGGTCCGTCCAGCAGCGCAGTTCGGCTACTGGCCTTCTGTACTCCACAGCGTAATGGAAAGCAGAAACCAGGTGTCAGACCAGAGCTAGTATCCTTCCATTTCTTAATCAGGTCCACACAACTCCTCGCAGGTCCGTGAGCATCCGCGCTGAAATTCTTCGGCTTCTTTGACTTTTGCTTGTGAAGGTCTTCAACTGTAAGTCGCATCAGCTACTTTTAGTCCACGGCTGCTGCCCCCCCCCCCCCTCTCGTACGCTTAACAGCTGGCCATTACAGCTTTGAGTTTGATCAAGTGTGTGTTCTGCGTAAGAGCTGTTATGCAAGCTGTCACGTTTGCTGTCCGGTCCTTTATTTTTTGTTTTGTTTTTTCGTAATTCAATTCTGGTTAAGGTCCTCAGTCATGGTTGTCAGAGTCCACTATCATCTTAACAACCTGCAAAAAGACAGAAAGACAAATACTGTTAGAAATGGGCACATGCTGCAGAAGTTAATGAAACCTATTGGAGCCAGATTTCAGACATTTTTTCCATACTTTACGTTTACGGGAAACAATTTTGCCTGGACTTTAGACGTCTACATTAAAATGGTTGATCAAAGGTGCACAATAGCCAAGAAAACATTCAGTGCCCTGCTCAGACCCCGGCCGGTTTGAGGGTTTTTTTCTTTTCTTTTCCCATATGTGACAGCTGACAATGCCTTTCACATGTGAAGTCAGTTTTGAGGTCTTTTTAAAGTCGGGGCCACGGGTAATTTACAGTACAATTTAAAAAATAAAATAATAATAATAATAACAAATGTGATTCTTTCACAGTGAGCATCGTCAGCTTTCCGTGAACTGAGAAAAAAAAGTTCAATTTTCAACCAAAATCTACAATTAACAAACATGTCTGTGTTTGACAACTGTAAACTCGTTGCTTTTTTGCTTTTTCATGTCAAATTATATTTTCTTTGTACCACCACAGAAGGACGTGAAGCACAACAAACAGCCCGGACATTAACAGTCAGGTAAATAATGAGAAAAGACTGTGCAGGCGCAAAACTACTGGGGAAAAAAAAAAGGTCACTAATAATATCCCAAGGATATAATTAACAGTAGAACCCAGCATCTCGCTGTCTTCTTCTTCAAGTATGATTTGCTCACTTTCAATTGTGATTGCTTAATGAATCACAACAAGGCCGTCATTGATGAATAACTTCCAGGAATCAATAAAATAAATGATCACATATTGGATTTCCAGCGGCTGTGCCCGCTGACGAGTCTATTTTTCTTCATTCTGTAATTCTAACTGTTACAAGTTACACTCTAGTTCTCAGTTCCCCCTTTTGTTGCCCCAACCACAAAAATAACCCCACCCTCTGTGTCAGTAACACTCCTCTCCCGCTCTCTTTTTTTTTTTTTCATTCTCACTCTGCCACCCTGTCTCCTTCTTTCCATCCATCTCGGCTCTCTCTACCTCGTCCCGCAAATCAAAATGTTAGTCTGTATTTATAATAAACCGTTTTCCTCCAGTGCCTGCATCAACAGTGGATAAAGATTCAATACCTGTTCAGCGGTCTTGACCACTTCCACAGACAGTTCTAACTTTGTTTGGGCTATAGATAGAAAGTTAGCACACCAGAACTGGAGGCTATCATTATCTGAAAATGGATATCTGCTGTTTCGCAAGAAAAAAAAATTGCTGGCAATAAAAGCCAAGAACATTATGAGTCATTACTGAAATTATGAGTCATTTTAAAGACCCTCCCATCTTAAAACAGTGCTGTTTTTCAGGATTAAAAACAAACTTCTCAGAAAAAAAACACGATGATTTCCAGGTAGGCACTTGGAAAAAAGTTGTCCATAGGTAACCTTGTGAAAGTGTCCACACCACAAAAAAACAAACAAAAAACAAACAAACAAAGAACACAACAAACAAACAAAAAAAGAAGGTGAGAACTCCAGTATCACATCAAGCAGACATGCTTCCGGTTATTACATGATCGACCACATCATGTAATAACAGCGTTATAACGGAGAGGACGAATGTTCTTTTCAAAGCAGAAAAAGAGAAATCTAAGAATCAACTTATTCATTAGCAGTTCTCACAAAAGGAAAAGAGGAAAGAAAAGTTTTCTTTATCTTAAGAGTGAGTATAGCTTTAAATATTTTTTTCCTGTGGAACTCTGACTCAGTCAGCCCCTGCTTACTCATTTTCTCAATCACTGTTTTTTGCTTCTTTGGTGTTTTTCTCTGTATTCTCTGTTTCTTTTTCTTCCTTTCTTTTTTTTTTAACTTCCACTATGACTTTTCTTGTTTTCTTGCATTCATTCATCTCTTTTTCTAGTATAACTTCCATTTCCCAAGCTCACGTCCATCAACTTCACGTTTTTCTCCCTCTCTCCGTTCCATGTCTCTCTCCCATCAATTCATCACTGAGCTCGCTGTCACATTAATGTGTTTCTTCTGACTGTTTTTCCAACTGTCATTGTGGCTGAGATACCCCCCACCTCCCAACCACCGCCACAGCCCCCCCATCCCTTCTGCGCTCACTCCCGCAGCCCCCCACCCCCCCATACACACACACTTTGTGAATGCGTGTGGTCCAGTCCGGCCATAGACTGTTACATTGTCCCAGACAGGTTGGACTGCGCCACTAGCCAGCAGACGAGGGGGGGGATGGGGGGAGGTGGAAAGCGGGGGTTCCTAGGCAATGTTTGTTTTTCTGTTTCCAATTTGGTCCAGCCTGAGGAACTCCACACTCCGCTCTGTCTCAAACACACCATTCATGACGGCCTGACGTACATGATTACACACACATGCCCACTCGCCAGCTCTCCGCTCGCTCCGAAGCACGCACGCACATGCAAACAGACGCACACACGCGTTACATGCTCTCACTGCCTCCAACAGACGCACAGACTTAGTGTAAATCCACGACGACAAACATAGCACTCGAGTTCATTTACAATCATTTTTGTCACGAAACACAAGACCCTCAATTTATCTTTGTCCTCATCTTTTATTGTTTTCTGATTTGTTATTGCTAATGCCGGCTCAAATGACATGGTGGTCAAACTAATTACACTCGTTTCTTCCTCATCTTTCGGCAATTTTTTTTCCTCTGCTGTCCCAAGGAAAATAATTGTCTTTGAAGGGCCGTTTTGATGTGTCTTGTTGCCTTTTCGGATCTTATGTAGGCAGAGTTATGCTCCATTGTTTGATATTCAGCTCAACTCAACCGTTCCAGCTTAAATGGATTATTGTGGTCATTTTTGCTGTTAGGATTTTAAATACACTAACTAAAGATCTTTCTATGTACTAGTAAAATCGTTATCTTGGATCAATACAGACAAACTGTGCTGACAGGTAGTTATCAGTCTTTTCAGATGTCATGGAATTATCGTCCCCCTGTTTGGTTTAAGCATCAACGATGTACAAGCAGGCACTGTATGCAAATGAGGTTTACTATGATTCAGTGCTCTCCGGCCGGTTCCCTGCAGATCATACCAAAAAAGCAGTGCAAAAGCAGCAAGAGCTGCACGCAGAGCTTTGCCGTTCTATCCGCGGCATAAAACGTACTGAGTAGCAGGTGCAAAACCATAAAGCTGGATGTGGAGCTTTCCAATTTTACTGTCAGGTAAACAAAGGAAACTATTAAACTACTCTTGAGATTCTCATAATAATTTGTTTAGTGATTGCAAACAGCTTGTCAATCAAAGAAAGTTGTCTTCTTCCAAAATCGTAAATTAAATTAATATTAGGAGAAGAGACGAAGCAAGTGTTAATCAAAGCAGTCAATGCCCCAGCAGAGCGGATCATACAAAGTGCAGACAATCTTGTACAGTGACGAGACAATGATTGGCCTATGGAGAACATCAAATAACCTTAACCATAAGGTCCTGATGGAACAAAAAATGAACTCCATTAAGATCAGGTAAAATACAGCCAGACACTTTTGTGTTGGCATGCATGACAAAAACAATGTTCTGATGACTACGTCTAAGGTAACAAAAAGAATATTTCCATGTTCCTAACAGATCACTAAAATTCACACTGTTAAATAAAAGCAGAGCTGAAAAAGTCAATTATCTGATAAGCTGATCACCGCAGTGTGTGACCATTCAAACGTTCCAATTCCTTGGTTCCCCCTTCCCTAATCTGAGAATTGATTTTTTTTCCACAGTGAATTGAATATTTAGGTGGATTGACTAACAAATCAAGAAAAGTGACGGCAGATTAACTAAAATAATAGTTAATAGATAGATAGATAGTTAATAGCTAGTTAATAGACAGATAGATAGGAACATCATCCTATCAAGCATGCACATGTTCAACCACACCAAAGAACACAATTAAAACTTCTGCTCTACATTTTGCATTGATCTGACCGTCTGCACGGCAAGCGAGCAAACACACTGTGCCAGTGCTTCTGCTCTCTTGTGAATCACACCACTAAGTGACCTTGATCAACCAGATCTTTCAGCTGCTGAGGTTAAAGCTGAGGGAGTGGCTTACCTATTCATTACTGTATGCAACACCCACAGCTTTTAGACTTTTCTCTGACACATATGCACGTGCAAGTTGCTGACATAGCACAGCTTTCCTGTGATACATAGGTTCCCCCTGAGTGGATAAATAAACAGTTGTAGGACTGATATTAGTCCACTTCTTCCTGTGGGGTTTGGAAATTAGTCTAAAACAGCATCACCGTTGCCACCAGTAACACTATTAATATAAAGAAAACTATACTTTACTACATAGTGTTACAAGTGGTTTTGAAACTGCTGAGCAAATTAATCTGCTACATCTTAGAAAACAAGAAAAGAGAAAGCTCAACTAATTACTAGTTAACTGCAGTTGAGGCTGGTAGAGGAGACAAACTTACCAACCACAGTCAAATGAGTATCCACATTTGCCTCGTGGACAGTGCTAATGTCCCGCCTTGATGTACGATAGTAGCAGGAAACCGGGAGATGCATAAATCAACAGGGGACTGTTGATTCTGACCTTGCTCTCCACAGCTAAGACTCTCATACATCAAAAATAATGGAGAACAAACTCTGCTTCAGTGGTAGTTGTAGGCGTAATGGAAGGAACTAGTAGCTGCATAAATCAACAAGTTGATTGTTGACTCTTGCCTAGCTGTCTTTTCCCCCAAAATACGGAAAACAAACTACAGCTCTGCCAGAAACACACACGCATTACACACATGCATTCCACGAGCCTGCCGAAGTCTGCCAGACATATCTGATGATTTTGAGTACACGCACACACCCATGCATGCTTGTGTTTGTGTGCCTTGGTTTGGTTTGTCTGTCTGGGTAGGCTCAAACATTACATCAGTCATACACACTCACATCCACAAACTGAAACAGACAAATACACTAGATCATGCACGCACTGCGCCACATTCGCTATTCAACACTCTGTCTCTCAGGAATACACACACATGC